ATGCTACACTATGGAATAGAAATTATTTGTTCTACACAGTTTAGTAAATCTGCAAATATAAATATATTGTACAAAAACTGTAATTCTATTTTCATTCTGCCGAAAACAATCTACAATCTACATTGACTTTGCATTTGTTAGCCGAGAACTCCATTACACATTTCCTGGTTCATCTCCTACCAGGTATTGTTACCCTTCTACATCTGTTAGTGATCTACTGCTTCATGTACATCGAGATCGTCATCAAAATACTCTTCGTCCTCTTAAAGTTTTCGGCGCTCTTTTTCGAGGCACCAGACTGGAGTGTTTCGTAATAATTTTTGTTGGAAACGAAAGGCAGCAGTTTCTTTAAGTCCAACAACTTTACGTTGGACAAAGCAATTGGTTTAGTTTCACTTGGGTGTATAATGGAACGAGGCACATTTGAACATATGAAGTTTTCGCACATTATAAAAGTGTCGTACTGTTTCTGCTCGAAAACAGTTTTATAATGAACAAGTCCAGATGTATTCGAACGATACTCGAAAAGAACAGAATAATGTCAACTTGAGAGGTATTCCAGCAGTGTTTGTCTTTGGTCTCTTATACCTCGACGACAACGACTTAAGCGATAGCAACTGCGTCTGGTTGAGTTTCCGTACCTCTAGTGGTATCTTTCTTCGGACCTAACTGATGAACACAGCCCAATCTCTTGGAGTCTCTATATTAACTGTAGAAGCTTTTTTAGCACGTTCGATGGCTCCATGTGGCTATGGCCATTAACCATGAACTTATGATTGTTACATTCTTGCCAGCGAGAAAATTTTGCTCAATCAAATATGTGAATATCATACAAATAATATAATTCAAGTTTCGGCCCCCTATCGATCTGAGTATAGATTGATATACTTGACGTCGGGGTTGACCTCGAAGAATAGTGAAAAATTATGTAGCAGGCCTGAACCGATCTCATTTGAACCTCGGCGACCACGAGACTCGTCCCACAAATAGCACAAACCACGGTTACTTCCAGAAAACGTTTCAAATAAGGTCAAATTATAAGTGTATAATTTTCTACAATAAAATGCTTTACCGCAGGCGTAAGTATGGTGAGGGGTTTTTCAACTGATTCTTATGTCATTTGGGCCGCTTGCATGTGTCAGTCACAGGGCACGGAAATTTACATTACTTTTTGGTAGTATGCAGATTTATCTGTAACGATACAGATTTTCTCAAAACTTTGTTACAAATATCTGTATATACAGATCACAGATTTTTTTTTCGAATCGGTAAGCTACAGTTTGTGTGTCGAAAAGTCAACAGGATATTTTGACATTTGACTAGCGTAACATCAGAAATAAAGAATATTCTATGCAATCCTACAAAACATCCAATTAAAAGTTATGTGTTGTGACAAAATACAATAAAGTTGATAAAACATATGAACACGATTGCAAATAAAGAAATACAGATGAAACTATAGCATTTTTTTTAAATACTGAGTACACTTAGGTTTATAGGTTCGAGCAACAGCTAGCGGATTTAATTTCCTTTTAATCTGCCAAATGATTAGATAAAGTTGAAATTTGGGTTGATTAGATTAATTTGAAAAAATTAAACATCGAGCATATCATTTTACCACTAATACTTCAGAAAATGTTAATGCTTATTTTTCATTTTCTAAAATTGTTATGTAAAAAAAACGATCTAACAAAGATTTTCTTAATCTCGAATAAAAAATTCAAGTTTTACGAAAATGTGATTGTTTCTTCATTAAACTTTTTTTTTCAGGTTTGTCCCTCATTACTGGGATTTGATTTTTTGTATTTTTAGACTTCACAAAATAAACCAGATTCAGGATTTCGAGGTGTTTTAAATAGATTAATTCTTTAGAAAGCAAATTTAAGTCACACTTTAAGATTCTAAACTATGAACAAACTATTTCTGAACTTCAAATGAACTCAAAGTATATTTACGACAATCCGCAATAAGGTCGTACTATAGAATTTATACAAATTATTTAACAGATTTTTGGCAACCAGAAACAGATTAAAAAGATTTTTTGCGGCAACACTCCGTCGTCTTCGTATTGGTGTCCGACGCTTATCCGTCCGTTGCTCTAAAGCAAATGACGAAGAAAACTAGTAGTAGTAGTAGTAGTAAAATTATTGTTATTTCTGTTGATTATGATAGTACATTGATTTAAAATGTCTATTGATTAGCCTACCTGGATCTTCATCTTTGTTTAATTTGATATTCTTATTTAATATTTGCTTTTTTTCAACTAGTTTACACAAAACCCCTTTGGGGTGTGTTTTGTTTAAATTGAAACAATTTAACTACGAGTATAACTTAACCTAACGTACTAGATCACGTATGGTGTGATGATTTGATCTCAGACAGGTGTCTCTGAACCTTTCCAAGATGAATACTTTCCGTTCTTCTAATGTCTGAATTCCAGCCAGGAGGTGGATCTCAGAATTTCTAGTCCGCGGGGGACTGTTTAGGACCATCCTAAGGATCTTGTTCTGGATGTTTTTGGAGTTTAAGGTGGATGGAATTTGGCGCAACTTTCGCAGATTGGCATCCCGTATTCTATTACGGGAAGGAAGATTTGTTTGTAGACAGCAAGTTTATTTTTCAAGGATAGAGTAGACCTCCTGTTGATGAATGGATACAGTGATCTTATCAAAATGTTACACTTGGTTTTGGTTTTGTCAACGTGCTCCCTGATAATCAGCTTGCTGTCTAGTGTAAAACCGAGGTAGACTACCTCTTTCGACCATTCCACCACTGTGCCGTTCAGGAAAATCTTATTATACACCGACGGAACAAGTCTGGGAGATTTCGAGTGTGGAAAGATGATGTGTGGCCTCTCTGAAGTTTGGCAATCAGATCTCCGATGACCCTTGAAGCGTCGGGCGTAGATTCCGGATTCATAAATGGTGGAAAATGGGTCTCTACGCATGAGCTCGGTTTCAGTTTGAGAGCTGAGCTTAAGATCGTATTCGGCTAGTGTTCCTGGATATGCATAAGGTGGAGGACAGTGGAACCGACGAATGGAAGGCGAGGGGGACAGTAGCGTTGACACTACTCACCGGATTTGCGGGTTCCTGACATGCCGCAGCTGATAGCATCGGAGACTCAGAACAACTAATAAGCATAGCCGCATCTAAAGTTTACAAAATCAAAATAGTCACAGAAATATATTCAAAATAACATGAAAATACTCACCAAGTAGCATATCTATGTTATTATGAGTCATTTTTTTAAAAAAAAATTGTGTATGCAAATTATGACCGGGAGCTTCGGATTCGCGTTTTTAAAAAACAACTGTTCACAACTAACGCTAAACATCAAGTGAGCTTTATTCAATTTTGGTAGGGGAATTTACGTATTCTCGTCAATCTAAGCAGCGTCCGAACTTCTATTAGCGATTTCTCAGCGTCACACACATACATGACAGGTTTGTTTGTTGACATTTATCTGCTGCTTGCTGTTCTACCAATTCCAATCGACAGAATTGATCAAAACGGGTTGAACATGTTTTTACAACGCTCCAAACTTCTCAGGTGAGTGTGACTATTGTCGGCAGTCTCTTTTTCTTCGGCACCCTTTCCATTTGAACTGCGTGTTAACCAGCTGTTCTATTATCGGCAACTCGAAATCAGCCGTATTTTGTAGTGTGTATATTTCATTTAAAGAAAAATATGGCAGAACAGGATTGCACAGTCGTAAAAATGTAATCAGATTGAAGCTGAAAAGGTAAGGAATCGGCTTAATACATTCAGCGAAGAGTTTTGATGGGAAAATACAGTGAAATTAACGTTTCTATTTCGGTTGCCGAAAACAGTCTATGGGTGCCGAAGCCATAATTCACCCTATTATAAAAATGGTTCTACCTATTAAACTGCCTATGCTGCATTTCCTGTTGTTGTTTACTCGGAGCTGCTTATGCTGGCGGTTTATCGTGGACTTCGGTTCCGTGGTACCCTGGTGAATGTGCTTACCAGGTGTGACATCGATCGGGCGGTATCGACTGGGTTAATGGCCGGAATGCTGACTGCGCTGGCTGATGATCGAGGTGTTGGTTAGAATGTTGACTCTGCTGGCTGGTGCGATGATCGGGTGGTTGGCCGAAGTGCTGACCGTGCAGAGTGGTGTGTTGACTGATGTAATTGTTGGCTGTACTGTGGCTGGTATGATGGCTGGTGTGATGGATGATATGATGGAGCCGTTGGTAACTTGCATACCAACATAAATTGCTGTCTTCACACAGTATTTCCACGCCGTATTTCCAAATTAACATTTTCAGAAGATCGACGGTCACGGACTGCTTAATGGCCACTTTCAAACTAGGATTCTTCCTGAGGCTTTCTGAAAGCCATTTCTGTTTTTAAAGGCAGTATTGCTAGGTGCACTATCCATCATCCGCTTAAAAACATTAAGCCGTGAACACTGTAATGTATCCATCAACGAAAACTATTCACCAAATTACACAACAGATAAACATGCAACAATGTTGTGTTACGCATAGTACATTCTCCAGGATCAATCGTGTTCCCTACAATGTTGAAAAGCAATATCCTAATCTATTTCCAAAGCTCATTTACGAACGGTCATAAATCCAAAAAGTTAGGCTAAGCGAATTTGTATACCTATCTGCACAATACTATTCATAATTGTGATTCATCACGATGACCGACGCCGCTTATGTACACCTACGTATCTACCTAAACGAGCGTGGTGAGAATTTGCAATGCTTTTTCTCAGAGAACCAGACCTCTTAAAAGACATCATTGTTTTTCCTCATCGTAAATTTGGCATTGCATCATAACTTCGGTGTATTAGGTTACTCAGATATCTAAACTGGAATGAATTTTCATCGTTTTTCTTTGTCTTTGGGTAACGATTTTATGAAATCTCTTAAATTGAAGTAGTTTTTTTTTTACCTCCAGACATGACTGTCATCATTTAGTGGATTGAATTTATTTTCTCCGAAAGTTTCAGAAATACATCAGCTAGTTTGGTTTATTTGGTACAAAGTAAGGACTTGTGTCACTGGTGATCATGTAGTATAGACCATCGGCTTGACCGTTGGAATTCGACGGGTTTCCACCCATTTTGGCAAGTTTGTTGTTGTTGGTGTTGTTGGTGTTGTAACCTCCAATGAACGGTAGATTCCCTATAGAAAGAATCTGTGTCGCCATAAGATATTCCTCCGGTTCGATCAACGATTCGACAAAGAGCTCCCAAGCGCGAGAATGTGCACAAATACCTGAAAATGATGGAATACAAATATAGAGAAGTAGTACAAATTGCCACCAACCGAACCTCGGCAACTGAATTCTTGACCACCATTATTGTTATTGCCAATATTATGTATGTTTTTCTAGATATCACCCAATCCAAAAAGTAGAAGGGTCTGTGCCTAGGGGCACGAACGGAAGCTTGACGTAGGACCGCTAGTGGACGGAACAAATGTGAACATTTAGTTCTTTTAATTGATCAAACATCAATTATCTTAACTCTTTCCGTTTTTTATTTGTAAGCGTATCAAATTTGTAGTATTTATTTCAAAGAGAAAGTTGATGAAGAGAATCCAAGGGACTGTCAACTTGAGTATTTTTGATTCATCTACCCGACTTTAAAAATTGTATTTTGAATTTTTTGTTATTTATGAATTTTTAAGTTTTGTGCATTTAGGTATTAAAGTGCATTCAATTCACCCCTCACAGGATTTCATTCCGAATTATATGAATGGGGCAGGGCGAAAAGTATCGTTTACTGGCTTTCTGGGGACTGAATGTGAATATAAAGGGTGATACGGTCAAAATTTGGTCAATATCAACTTGACGTATTTCTTTCAATTTTGCATTTAAAAAACCTGAACACCCCTCATTTTGAAGGTGTGTGTGTGTAGAATGTTGCTCCTATTTTGATTTTGGAATTCACTCTTCAGTTGTCAAAATGCCGTCCAAGCAAGAAGAGCAGCGTATCAAAATGTTGCTCGCGCATCGCGAAAATCCGAGCTACTCGCACGCAAAGTTGGCAAAATCGCTAAAAGTTGCCAAATCAACCGTTACAAATGTAATTAAAGTGTTTGGGGAACGTTTGTCGACAGCCAGGAAGTCTGGATCGGGGGGAAATTGAAAACCGGAAGCCGCTGAGACGACAAAGAGAGTTGCCGGTAGTTTCAAGCGAAACCCTAACCTCTATCTCCGAGATGCCGCAAATAAGCTGGGTGTATCGTCTACAACCGTGCATCGAGCCAAAAAACGAGCCGGACTATCGACTTACAAGAAGGTAGTGACTCCAAATCGCGATGATAAACAAAATACGACGGCCAAAGCGTGATCCCGGAGGCTGTACACGACGATGCTGACGAAGTTTGACTGCGTGGTAATGGACGACGAAACCTACGTCAAAGCCGACTACAAGCAGCTTCCGGGACAGGAGTTTTATACGGCAAAAGGAAGGGGAAAGGTAGCAGATGTTTTCAAGCACATGAAACTGTCAAAGTTCGCAAAGAAATATCTGGTTTGGCAAGCCATCTGTACCTGTGGCTTGAAAAGCAGCATTTTCATAGCTTCCGGGACTGTCAACCAAGAAATTTACGTGAAAGAGTGTTTGAATAAACGTCTGCTGCCTTTCCTGAAGAAACACGGTTGTTCCGTACTGTTTTGGCCGGATTTGGCATCTTGCCATTACGGTAAAAAGGCCATGGAGTGGTACGCCGCCAACAACGTGCAGGTGGTTCCCAAGGACAAGAACCCTCCCAACACGCCAGAGCTCCGCCCAATTGAGAAATACTGGGCTATTGTCAAGCGGAACCTAAAGAAGACCAAAAAAAACTGCTAAGGGCGAGCAGCAGTTCAAGGCAAACTGGCTTTCTGCGGCGAAGAAGGTGGACAAGGTGGCTGTACAAAATCTGATGGCAGGGGTCAAGCGTAAGGCCCGGCAATTCGGATTTGGAAAAGCGGAAGCCTAACTGATTATTTTTCCTGAATTTTATACTAATTGAACTTGAAAAAGAAATTTAATTTGATTTTTTAAATAAACGATTTCACCGATTTACACGCGTTTTCCCTTGACCAAATTTTGACCGTATCACCCTTTACACCCAAAGCGAATTATTCCCACTTCTCTCAAATTCTATTGGATTTTTAACACTTCCTACCAGCGTGTTCTGGAAAATGGACGGACGATGATTAATCTCACCAATACATTCGGGCCTACAATTCCACACCTTCTATAGAGACCAGGTTGAGCCTTGATAGCTAGCTGCTTGCGGGAACTGATGACCTTGAAATGTCTAAATAATACTCTTAACAAATTTATGGTGGTCCTGAAAAGGACCGTTTTGTAGTGATGGTTGGGTAATGCTGAGCTGAGCACGACGAGCTACTGATTCCGATCCTAGCCTAGAGGTGGGACTTCTTCCTCCTTCTCAATGGTTGCTCATATGACCTCTGCAGCTCGCTGCTTGCAGGCAGCCTTTCGTTGTTGTTGTTGTTGTTGAAAGCACTCCTGCTGCTGCTGCTGCTATTACTGCTGCTGCAGGACTGGACACCACCACTTACGGTGATAGAATGAGCACCGTTCAGAGGGACCGCATCGAATTCGATTTTTAAGACTGTGTTAGGGAATGCGCTGTTTTCAGACATTCGGTGATAATTTTGATCACCATTGCAGCAGTTGGACATTTGGTATTTTTCAATAGTGACCTATTGAAAATTAACTAAGTGTTCATTTTAGCATATTGGTAGATAAATTTCCAATCGTTGTTTAGAATTAAAATCTATCTGCTATTGGTCGAAACCTGTCCTCTTTTCGTAATGCTGTGCATTTTAATTTTTTGAAATTGCGTGGATTCTATAGATCCTGTGGAGATCTATCTAGCCCTGATGTATGTGTTGGTAGAGGGAAAAATGTAAACTTTGTGGGAGACGATGTCTTAACACTCGAAAGCAATTTTGTGAAATATGAAGTAAAACAAATCCTAGCTAGTTCTGCATGATGATTTTGTTTGATTTTATTTATTTGTATAGTCGCCGGGAAATACCCGCTGGCGATTTGTTTTTTATGATAACTCCTTACTTGAAAACAGGTAAAAATTCACAAACAGGCTGCTTTTTCATGGTATACAGTGTGATAATTCAATAATCAAAAATTATATCAACATCTAGAGGCAAACCGTTCATAAATTTTGGTAACATACAAAAAATTCTATAATCCACATTAAATTTCATATGTAAGCGCCGATTGAAACAATCTTTTCGACGTCAGTACCAGGGTGATTGATTAAACGAAAGAAACGAATCGTGCGGAATGAAAGCCGAGGAAAAACTAATTGCACCAATATATTGAGGCCTACAATTCCACACCTTCTATAGACAGGTTGAGCCTTGATAGCTAGCTGCTTGCGGGAACTGATGACCTTGACCAATGTCCAAATAATACTCTTTAAGACATTTTTGGTGGCCCTGAAAAGGACCGTTTTGTAGTGATGGTTGAGTAATTCTGACCTGGGTATTCAACACGGATGAGGCTGTCGAGCTGTATGTCGTTTGGAGCGAGGGTGACACGCTTGGCATAGATGACCGACCCGCAGCGACTCACGAAGAGCTACTGATCCCGATCCATAGCATAGCGGTGTAGCTTCTTCCTTCTTTGATGGTTGCTTATGTGGGCTCTGCAGCTCGCATTGGAGGCATTGAAGCGTACATCTATGAAATCGATGCTGCGTAGGTCGCGTCGCTTGAAAGAAGACAAGCAACGCAAATTATATTGCCGACATACAGGATAGAGACTGTTGACAACTCTTCCGCCACACACACAAACACACTGCGTGGTGGTAAAATCACGTTCATTCGTCGTTTGGTCCCCCGCAGTTGCTGACCGCATAAACGTGCATCGTCATCGTTGTAAGTTGGACACGAAACCGTCGGAAAAGCCATCCTACGGAAAATTGACGGGAGTGGCCAAGCGTCGCCATCGTGGACATTTGCAGAAAGCCTTCGGAGCGTCACGACTAGTAAAAGTATTGTACCCCACAGGCTGCACTCATTCACACACGGGGAACAAACGTACCACATCTCGAGGATCACGATTACTAGGCGCCAAGCACGGAGGGATTCGACATTCGTCAATCAGAGGCATACCAGTGGAATAACCGATTGGTCTACACGTCGAGATTTGACCTTGACAGGACCACAGCGAGTCACTGCGTGAACAGACAAAGCCTTCGAAAAGAAGGCCACCAAACTTGGGCTAATTGGCAATGCGCCTCAGAGTTTTGTTTTCAGACTCGATTCGACCGAAGGAGGGCCGAGCACGCAACGAGCTCATCCAGTGACAGTAGACCATTCCGTTGCGGACGTGGTGCCGTACCTGCCGAGAAAATGAAGGTGACACGCAGCGCATCGGGAGACGGCCATTCGTCCTGCATTCCACGCGATCAACGTTGCTAGTAGGACCGACAGAAACTCGGTGAGCACAATCCCGATAGTTCTACCGGTCAGATCCTGCTTCATCGGAGTCGAAGCCGTAGGCACACACTGGTTGCACTCGCTTTCACCCGCACCGTTCGTATCAAGGAGAGCTCGTCTAGTTGGATGTCCAAAACGGCTACTCACGACGGAAGTGAGACGTGTGACGGCCACGAAGCGTACCCCAGGCAGCGAAGGGACATCGGCATGAAGTGTGGAGCTGTGTTGTGTAGGCCCATCGACAACAGAAATGGATCCGCGATTCGGGTACACCCGGTCGGTATCTTGTGAGTACTCACCTGAAGAAAATCATGTTTAATTGGAAAGAACAGTAGGTCAAGATGGGAGGCACAAAAGCGTGATAAAAGGGAGTAAGGGCAGGGAATAGGAGGCAGGTAGGAGAGAAGGATGTGGCAGAATATACTAAAATAAAAACTTGCCTGGTTTCATTATGTTATTTGTTGTGGTGTTTATTTTGCTGGCTTATCCGACCTTAACTTTCCCATATAAGCGTATGTCGGATACAACAGAATGTAGAAAAAACAGAAATCGCGTGTTGCCAAAAACGGGAAGGCACAGCATTTTTCTAAATTCACAACTTTTAATCGTGGTAAGAGCCAGGTAATCAGTTCAATTTGTGATCAATAGCGATGTGTGAAGGAAACTGCAACCATCTGGATATAAATCTACAAACAAGGCTTGCTTAATCCCTTAAAATTTTCAGCAAGTTTGCTCGATTTATTCCATGATATGAGAAGAGGTCCTTGGCGTTGAGATTTTCACACTCTTAGAAGCAGTGTTGAAAATATTTACCAAAACTCGCTATGACTCGCAAAATTTTCCCTTGTTGAACTTCGTGAAATATCGTGAACTTTTCAACCCTGCTTTGGAGTTCTTTTCTGACTGTTTCCTAACTCTACGCTAGGTACAGAAATTCACACAGTTCCCCTACATCTTACATATGAAACACTTGTCTTTAATCCCTTTATATTGTTATTCACTTGAGCACAATTTGAGACCCAGCTCCAGAAGAAAATTCTCCCGGATAGCACGTTTAACCAAACGCTCATTCGCGGCCAGATTCTTATATAGGGAAATCGTATGAACAGTGCTTTCACCACCAAAATTCTGTAAATTATTTTCATTCTCTGAGCAAATCAGGCAAAAGTTCTTCGTCAGATGTAATTAGTTGTAACATCTACTAAGAGGCGCACATTCCCATGTGGAGGTGAAATTTTGCAACAACTAACAACGTCTAGTGTCTACGGAAAGATTTTTATCATCTCTCAGTATCTCAGTTCAACTCAGGAATGTGTGCCAGTGGGAGCTGAATTTATATTTGGTGCAAAATCATCAAACTATCCTTTCATTTGAGCAATTCTTGCTCAACTTGCAAAAATGCACACCAAGTAATTAAGTTGGTTGAAACTAGCAAAGTCAGTCATACTCATTAATAAAATGTCCCTGAATTTGAATGAAATTCCCTAAGATTCCCTTACTTCCAGGTCCAAAAATGAATTCCTGATATTCCCTGTTTTTCCAGCTTTTTCCAGATATTCAACACCCTGGTAGGTCAGTCTGTGATGTGCTCTGTATGTATTCGTTTCGAGTTCAATTAACTGTAAATTGAACGTGTTTGTAATGATCAACAACGGAGAGAACGCTAAATGGACAAATTGGACCTACAACTCTGCCACTGGATCGACCATATTTGTGCCGTGACCAGGATAGTATTGGGAATGGATTTCTGGACGTCGGTTGGAACTCGTCATTGACGGATCGGGATGTCGACAATTAACGTTATTATACGATTTGAAGTATCTTCAAAATCGCCATTGTGATCGAATTGTTTGATGACGTTCTTCGCTTCAATCTCCTGCTAGTGAGGATGCCGCATTGAATCAATTTCAGACTGTAGTGTCCTCTTAGTGGATCGTATAAGTTCCCATCGGATTACCCAGCATCCCTGTTGGAACCCAGTATCCTCGTCGGACGCATTGCCGTCGGATGCCTAATGTTCATTGTTGGAATCAAAGCCAGACCCTTGTGTCCACCGTCCGACCTTTGCGTCAACTTGTCGGACCAAATCGTCTTCGGTCGGAGCCCTACGTCTATTTTACGGACCCAAGCGTCCCCGTCGGATCTCTGCATCCCCCTGCCGGACCCATGTGTCCATCATTGCATCGAAGTATCTTCTCACCGGACCGTAGCGTCTTCATCGCCGGACCGAAGCTTCCTCCTACTGCAACAAATCGTGCCTACGTTTAGACCGGAGCATCCTCTTATTAGACCTAAGCGTTATTTTTTGGACCACAGTGTCAGCAAACTGGAGCGCCCTGCGCTTCGGTCAGAGAGCGTATAGGGCGTCGTTGTGCCAATTTGGTCGTGGCACATGTCGAGTATGAGAGAGTAATTGCAGTTAGATCAAAAGTGCCTGAGAAAAATGCAAGTACTTTCGCAGATTAGCCGAAGTTGCGATAGTGAAGGTATGATCACAGAAAAGCAAACATAACACTCATAAAACGTTCATCTAAATCGCTTTTAACGGTCAATTGAAATGTTTCTTAGTTGGTACACGCAAACCAAAAATTTGTTACAATGAATGTTAGATCCATTTCCTATCATCCTCTGTTCATGAACATCGCAGCTAATGTTATAATAGAAGTTGGTTTTTAATCTTTTTTTTTATTCCGTAACATTCGTGGTTCGAGAGTCCCTTAGCCGGCACTTTTTTTTCTACATGATTAATTTTACTCACTAATACACTCCACACTTTCCTTTTTCCATTTTCTTGCATTGGACCGCAGCTCGGTATATTGCATCCTCGGTTCATGCGGTCTCCACTAACATCCTCTGATGATGAATCCCACATAATGTAAGCGAATCTTACATCCCCCGGTTGGGTGTAGTACCGCCACTTGTTGTGCACATAATCAATTCCCTAGCGTTTGACGTTTACACACTACAGCCATCTGTTGAGTGTATTGCCAATCATAGTGTATACGACAGATGGCGGTAGGGTTTAAAATGATAAATGTTCAATGTGTTGTGTCTGTTTGTCTGTGATATAACATTGAGGTAACGTTAGAATAAAATCATAACATTGAGAAATATAGCGCATCACTTTCAGGAAAACTTCACTTCGCAACCGATGAACCATTCTGACGGCCATAGTAACCAAGTAACCATATAGTCGCAATATTGCTTGTATATTCTTACTTTGCTTGAGTATGGTTAGATGGGGTTTCATCAGTTTAACTGTCTGTCACTTCTTGAAACTGATCCCTTTCGTATTTCTTTCATTCTCTTTTCGCACATGGAGCGCTCAGTGGACCAGCGACTTTGAACGTGAGCCTCGTCCCAGATCACCATGGCAATTCAGTGACAGATGGTGGACATGAAACCGACCACACCAACCAGCGAGGAAGGAGTCAACATCGAACTAGTAACGGATATTAGTGTGGATTTATCTCTCTCGGAAAACAAGAAAAACCCGGAAAAGGCGGAATCATGTTAGAACCAACCAAGGACGATCTACGGAAGGAAATTGCCGGTGAAGCACGTAATGAAATAAGAAGTGTTAAAGAAAAAGTCCAAGAGATTTAAAAAGAATCAATTAACGGTGGCAGAAGAGCATAATATGGTGAGAGCTGTCCAATTATTTTTTACACATTAAATATCAAAATTAAACTAAATACATGCCAGGTTTGAAAAAATATTTCAAACCTGGAAGTGTGTAAATATAACCAATCCCCCCTATTCTGCGAATCACGTGACTCTCTCTCACCGGTGAGGTGACAATAGTCACCTCGTGTGAGGTGACTCTTCATTTGATTTGCACGGAGAGTCACCTCACACGAGGTGACAATTGTCACCTCACCGGTGACAGAGAGTCACGTGACTCGCAGAATTAGGGGGAATATCCAGTTGATAACGGTGATGCATTCATGCATACATGCGGGGCTTATTGTGAGTGAAAGTAACCTCGGAATGGGCGTGACTTTCCAGACAATCTGAAATGGGTTGCTGGATCTGCAATAAAGCTATCACCTTCTAACTCCCGGACTAAAGCTGCGACATTGTAGAGAGAGTTCTTCCATAATAACACTGCCGGCCAGTAGGGGCTAGAGGGAATACATACACACAGTATCACCAGTGTGTCATAAGGACCACAGCGTCAACATAACGGTAAAATTCTCTATTTTAAAATTAATTTAAAAAAAAATCGTTTTTGAGAGGAAGTTGAATCGCACCATCGGCGCTGGGCTCTGCCCCCATTGCCATGGTAGCGATGAAATTCGCAGTAATAGAATAGTAGTACTGTTCTCTCCATTATTATATTAGTACTTGTTTTGTATGCTTTGTAATGTTTTGTTTACTTTACACTTTACAGGATTTTATTTGCGATCGAATTTTTATTATTCTGTGTTAGCATATAACGGAAGCAAATTCAATGTAATTTATGCGGTTTCTAGTCTACCCTCCGAGTAGGCAAGTGAAATTTAAATTTATTGCGCTACAAATCGAACACCAATTTCGTTACCGATTTCCATCAATCGAATTTAATAATAAATAACGTAGGGATAGACATCCTGATCGAAACAGGATGATTTTTTTTTAACATCTGCTAGAAAGACACGAGCTAATTTCGTTTTAGATCATAGTTCACTGCCCATCAAAGAGAAATGCAAAGATTTAAAAAGCCAATAACACTAATTCTGGTGAATCAGTAAACATAATATTATGCAACCATCTCGAAAATTGTGTTTCTCTTGTTTCTGCATTTTTTAGATACTACGTGGATAGACACATGAAATTTCTCCGGACCATCACAAATGAAGAACGAATAAACAACACTACAAGGTGATACATTTACAGGGAAAACAAATTCCAGTAGCACAATAAGAAAATAATCCTACCTGCAAAATTGATTCCGCATCCCGGCTGTACAACACCTCCATTCGGATAGAAATCTGCCGTTCCGATGGGTTCCAGGAACCCCAGCAGCCCTCCATTGGTATGAATGACTTCAACGTACTTAGCGTCGTCCTTATCGACTCGATTATCCTTGTGCCAGCCGGAAAACAGTGGCAGCGCAGGATCCAAGGCCACAATGGTAGAAAGCCTTGCTCTTCCTACGGTTTTCCCGCTAACCCCCGCCACATGAGCTCCTAAACTGTGTCCAATAACGTACACGTCATCCAGCAACAATCGCTTGCTCGTCCTCAATTGCCACAACATTCTGCCAACAATTTCGCCTACAGTCTTCACGCATGCCGCAGCCGCAATGTAGTTCATTCTCCCAGCACAGCTAGACCAATCCACAACGATCACATTGTAATCCCATCCGGACAGATACGTCTTGCGAATCTGCACATTTAACGGTGAATCCCGATGATTCATCCAGCCATGAACGATGACTCTTGTTGGTCGGGAAGCATCAAACGAAGATTCATCCACATTCTGGATATCACTTAACCGGAACGTTGCTCCGCTGTCATTTTCCCTGGAGAAGAACACGAATGACACATCCACTTCGTTGGAACCCCACTTAACGCGATTTTGCGCCTCCACTACCGATCGATGAACCCAAGTTAGTTGCCACGTGGGATTAGGAACCTGTATCCAGTCGGCTTCGTTTGGCAACTCGGTCCAGTTTAGAGCATATTCTAGAGATGCACTGATAAATTTTAACGCAAGAAAGAGGATTTGGAAATTCAAGCGAAACATCTAATTACACCACCAAAAACAGACCGATCTGAGGAGTGAATGAAGAACTGAGGGAAAATTTTCTCACCAGTTAATTGACAGCAATTAAATATAGCCTCCATCTCCGAAATTGAACGTGAAGTTCATAGCGATAAGATAAGAGCGGAGTGCCGATAAGGAATTTTCGACATCTGACGGTACACAGAATCTGGTGAATGTTGTATAGGGTGCTTCATTAAAAAAAAAAAACTATTAGAAATCTAATAGACATTCGTACAGTTTGATTATTAACAGTCAATGTGAATTATTAATCGTGCACTTAACATCCAGAAGCCTCTATTGCAGTTACTCTTCATATCTATCGTCAGGTATTGTCGTTTCACCAAAATAAATATGGATTACGTCTCGTGTAAAAGTAGTTTGTAGTTCTGGACAGAAGCCTCCTTTTACACGGTTTTTAACGGTTCTTTCTTATATGGATTTGGGAATCTATACGGGTTTAGCTCATTTAAGTCTGAAACGTGATTTTAACACGCGGAGTAAAAAAAATTACGGTATTTTTTAATTGATTTTCGGAATCTACGCGACTGTATTTTTAAATTTGTTTGCTTTACACTTAGAAAAACCTAATCTTACACGTGACGAAATCCATCTTTGACATAAAGGATGAGACGTAAACAAACATGTAATGTAAAATTAAGTGCTCCGATACTGAAAAGCTTAAAAGTACGTTTGATTGAGCTGAATTTGGCGTACGCTGTTTTGGTCAGCAGTCTACCAAAATGCGATGCAAAAACTAGAGCCCTTTGCAGCAAGAACACCTAATGGATTAAGACAACGCTGGGGCGTTGTCAACAGAGCCGTTCAGACATTTAGTGACTGCTACAAGGTCATCGTTCGCCTCAACGAGAGTGGAACGAACGATGGGGATAAGATGGAGAAAGCGGAGCAACTATACAAAAATGAAAATAGTAAAGAATTTCGCTTTATGGAATGCTGGGAGGTTCTACAGAGGTGTCTCAAATTTGGTACAGACAATCTTGGAGGTAGGAAAAATATGTAGAAACAAATGAAAAAAGAAAAAAAAATTAAAGGGTTGTGTCCTAGACACGACCGCAGTATGACGTAGAATTACGCAAAATTGATGTATGTCATGCATTTTTGATTATTATACTTTATCTTTATTATAACCGAAACAGGTTCAAAACTCTCGACAATTCATGTTAGCATAATCAGACCACGGTTCATCTTACGCATGAGATAATGTATTTAAATGTAATGTAATGGTTAATAATTGACAGAATTTCCCCTACATAACTACTTTGGGTTGATCAATGTTAAGTTATTTTGCTGTGATCAATGTACACTAAATTTGACATCGACATCGACTGCAATAGGAACTGACACTGTTTCGTCACATATTTTTTGTTGATTTGCACCTCAGTATAGTAAACAAATACGCCATACATGTTGTGGGATAAAACAATTGTCAAAAAATACATTAATTTTTTTCAGTAGCTCCATCATTAGCTTTAAGTTAGGTTTCTGAAGCAGAGAAGAAAGTGAAGATTGCATTTTATGATAACGCAACAGGCAGTTGTTTTACCTGTCAGAAGACGGTACTTTAAATATTGAACAAAATGTTGGTTCATATGTCAACGAAGTAGGAGAGGAAGGGGTATAACGATCATACGGGGCTTAAGCACCTCTTTGTTCTCCAATTTGGTGGATAACCCTAACATAAAATTACCATGCATCATCATTATGTACTTTACAGCGTGTTCGTAGAATGATTGCAAAATAGAATACTGTGACTTTTCTCAAATTAAACGTTTGGTTTCCAATAAGAAGGTGCTTAGTAAAACATTAATTGAAAATTAGAGGATTCAGCTATTGAATTTCGAAGTCAGAGCAAAAGCGTGTATACAGGTTCTCCCCCTGTTTAATGTTTTGATAGTAAACATCATAGCTAAGGTACACCGGCGCAAGTTGAAACAGTACGTATATCTCTTTGGAAGTGAATATTCACTGTATTAGTACAAGACACTGAAGAAGTCTGCACATTGTAGACGAAATACGCGTATCCGTCAAGGATAAGCAAATAAAGTAGTGGAATTAAATGGAAAATACTAATCCTTCTCTCTCTCATTATTAACTCCACTGTTTGACACTAAACTAACAAATGTTCAGCTCGCTCTCATACAAATTCCCACTGAGGGGCGCTAAGATGGTGATATTTAACTACGTAGACATTTTTTTGGGATTCTTCCTACCTTCCTCCCCCTCCCCCTCGTAGTTAATTAACAGCCCCTTAGTTGAACGGGACCCAAGTCACCTTTAACCACTGATTTGCTCCTGCTTACTGCAGGACCAAGCGCCACGCCGTCCGAAGCGGTAATGAGCAGAAGTGACTTTTTGAGTTTGAATGATCTATATTTCTTGTATTTGTTTGGTTTACATGTATGAATTTTCAAGTGACACAGATGCGTCTTTTCAACTTTAGTTATTTTGAAATTTTTAATTATTATTTACTGTTTATAGTCCTATCAGGCCTGTTAAAGTATGACCACCTTTAGTGGGATTGGTTTGTTTTGAATTGAGCAGAAGTGCGACAGCAGTGCTGATTTATATCTTTTCAGAGCAATGTGCAACCAAGTGGTACTCGATTATGATGACTGGGTTTGGGAAAAACGCTTATTTCATGAAAACAGTGATAAAAATATCATCTGTACATTTTTCAAAAGTTTTATTACAGAAAAATTGGAAAATATTTATTTCAGCAGGTTCGTAATGTAATATCCTATCGATTGGCGTATTTGGATTTTAATTTCATCTATAAATGACAAAGTTACAAGCGTTCAAAACCTAACACTACTTCACCACACATATTTTTTGATTTGCACCCCAGTATAGTCGACAAAGACGTAGTTCTACGTCAAAAATGCAATCCTTATTTAGGATAGGGTGCCTCCCTTAGCTGAGTTTTTAAAGATGCAAGACTATTGGCGAATTCGTTTTAGATTCAGCTCCAACCTGGATAGGGTATCAAGATTGGGATTGCTTGTTTCGTTTTTGTAACCTGGTTCTGGTTGATTGGATTGATTTTCTTGTTTCTTTCAACTGATTCTTATGTCAAAAGGGCCGCTTACATGTGTCGGTCTCAGGGAACCTAAATTTACATGACATTTTCGTAGTGTGAAGATCATCATGCAAAGATAATGGACGTCGAAATATCGTATAACACATCAGAAATAACATGGCAGACTTTCGGGAGACTAGTAGCGACTTGCATCACTGCTGCAAAGAAGGTGCAAAGAACAACGAGTTAATCAGGGTTATTCTGCGTGGCGAATCAGGTGAGACGACAATTGTCACCTCGCAGTCACATGACTCTTCTCACTCGATTCCGACAGTCGACTCGGGTGACGTGAGAGGTTCATTTCTCGGTGAGTGAGGAAATGAATCGCAAGCGACTCTGTGTTCATCCGTAGAACTGTCAGTCCTCCTTATTCTGCGAGTCACGTGACTCTCTGTCACCGGTGAGGTGACAATTGTCACCTCACCGGTGAGAGAGAGTCACGTGACTCGCAGAATAGGGGGGAGTATAACTTGTTTTTCGCAAAGGGTGCGTGCGTCTTATACCCGTTCATTTAAAATTGAATTTATGTTTTAGAATTTTAATTATTATAACGATTTCTAACGTTCTATGCATGAGAATTAAAACCGACTTAATTTTATTTTCGTTTGTCAACAATTTATCGCTTAAATTTACTTGTTTTTCTTAAGTAAAATGTAATTAACATAAATTTAAAAAATATGATCTACAACAGGCCCTCTGAGTTTCTTGGTGTTTACATTTATTTCAATAACGAAAGGTAAAATAACTTAAAAAATCTCCTTTCGTTCAAAAACTTAATAATTGTGCTCTAAGTTACAAGAAAACTTCCGCTAAAAAGATGTTTAATCCATCGGTTACTATACGAGTAGATATAAATGGTAAGTTTACGATTTATTTAAATTGTGGAGAAGCTCCAATAATCTAGAATTTCTGCAGGGCAGCTGATCCGGCACATTCCAGAAGTTGATGTTTTCCATGAACGAAAAAAAAACATCTTCAATAAAACCGTAAATTTACGATAACGGTGTAAAGTAGGATCAAGTGGTTGGTGCTTAATAAGGCGACGTTCAATCGATAGAAGTGCATGTTTCTATCAAGAAGTGGAACAGATCCCCAATTTGAAGCTAGTGGATTGAAAAGTTTTTTTTTTTAGATTTTTGCATCGAAACCATCAGATTGTATTGGATTGGAAACCATTGGATCAGCGGCTCAAAGAACTTCTACACCATAATCAAAGTGTCAATAGAAACACTTCCAAACCTTTAAAAATCTAGTGTCAGCCTACACTACTAATACCGGTGAACGCATAATTGTCACATGTGATATGGAGCTTCATATAGACCTCGGACAAATATGCGTTAACCTGTAATATAAGCACAGAATGGAGATTTACGGTTTGGATATAAATAGAATATGGCTTGTAAACAGGAATTATAAATTAATATACATATTACAGCATATTTTTTATTTCACTTTCATTTAAATGAATGACATACTATAACACAGACGAGGCTAGAAGGGTGTCCAGCAAATAAGTCGTAAGATCCCAGAAATGAGTGTACATTCATGTTCTTGTTATTTTTATACTCGAGATAATGAAAAAAACAATCTGATTCATTCATTATTTCTGTATTGTTTTGTAATTTTGTATCAATTATAAAATCCCTGCCTTATTCTAGAGGAACTTTTTCGAATTTATATTTTAAACAAATCCGGTATGTATGTATGATGTGAGTGCTCATTGCAAGACAGCGTATATCACGTGATATATGCTGTAATGTGAACGGGGTATAAGCCATTATAAAAGATAACTGTTGATTTATATTTGTTTATTTCAAATGTCATCTCAGGCATGGTGACTTTTTCACTATGGGAAAAGTGTGGTTTTAGAGCAAATTGTAAA